GCATCTAAAATTAAAATGTTGAATTACCTGGGAAAAGTCTTAAGCCAAGTGTTAAACAGAAATAGCTCTAGGCTTGAAGTAGAAAAGCAAACACAGTTAAAAAACAAACAAACAAACACAGACCATGGTACTGCAGAACATTTTGTGGGTCTTGTTAGATCGCTGATTTATAAACAATTTATCTTCCAGTTTTTAAATGATGGAGAACTGGCTCTAATAAGTGATTGTTGAGTACCAACTACGTGATGAGATTCTGGGCCAAGATCTTTGCATGTTTTATCTCATTTAATGGTCACAACCCCGTAATCCTAATTCTATAGATAAGGAAATGAATCTCAGAGAGGTTATCTAACTTGCCCAAGATCACTAATAAATAACTACAAGCACTTATCAGGTACTTACCATGGGCCAGACACTATCATAAGTGCTTTATAAATTTTAACTTTTAATCTTCATAGCTACCCTCTAAGGTAGGTACTATGATTATCTTCTTTCAAAGATGAGGGAATTGAGGCACAGAGAAGTTAACTAAGTAACTAGCTATTAATCCTGGAGTCAGGATTCAAACCCAGGCAAGCTGCCACCAGAGTCCTAACTCTATGCCACATATTGTCTTTCAGAAAGTATAGCTAGATTCAGACCCGGCCTCCAAAGCCCAAGTTCTCGCCAAGATTATTTTCTAAGACTTGCTTGTAGATTAAGCACTCAGGGGACTCATTAGAATGAAGATAGGCTGAATTTTATGTTGCTGCAGATGCATTATATACTCCCAAGAAAATGCAACGTTGTGTGATTACAAGATGAGAACATACGTGAGCTGTGTTATCTCAGCTTTGTCTTAACCTGTGCTCTCCTTTTGATAGACACTCCCTCCTTGTTCTCAGACAATCCAAGAATCACATTTACTATGAAGATGGAGGCCCTCTTCTGTTAATCCCTCTCATCAAGAATATTTTGTGATTTTTGTCAATCTTTATTGTCTGTAGTTTGTATCGTGAAGACAACAGGAATTTAAAAAAATGTTTCTGATAAATGTTCGTCTAACCCTGGGCAAAAAAAAAAAAAAATCCCTACAACGTCCTACCTTTGAGACTCCGTGTCATAGAATACATTCAAGGGTGTCTTGCTTGCACACATTCAGGGAGCATGAGCTAAGGTTTCCCCTAACTGCATGTTTCCAGTACTGTTCGTTAGTTAATGAGTTAATTCAAACAACATTTCGCTGGGGATACAACACAAACAAGACACAGTCCGTAGAAGATTATATCAAAACCTTATCTTGAGAGCAGAGATATGTTTCTACTACACTCTGCCGATGCTCATCCTGAGGAAGCAGGCTGGTGCCTACCTGTAGTTTTACTAATTTCCTGTCTATCAATCTTATCTTTGATTCTACCTATACCTAAGGGAGCCATTCAGATATGAAATAATTGCACCAAAGATTTATGAAAAAGTTGATGATAGGGTAGAAGATTTTGGACCTTGTTATAACACTACTGCTGGAAACTTTACTTTTGCTTATTTGTGGAATATTGTTTAAACTTTTAAGATATCTTGGGAAAATTAGGTCTTGGTTTCATATATAGAGAATAAAGAATTACAGGTTGAGCATCCCTAATCCAAAATCTGAAATCTGAAATCCTCCAACATCTGAAACTTTTTAAATGCCAACAAGACACCACAAGTGGCAAATTACATGCCTGTCCTCATATAAGGGGCCATGTGTTTCATTCACAAAAT